AAAAAAGATGTATCATGGGAACAAGCGCTGGGCCTTGGATGGAATCGGCGGGGGGGCATTTGTGAGGACAGGGCCCATGAACTGGTGGGCTTGGAGGAACTGAGCGTGGCACACACAGTCCACTTGAATCCAAGCGTGAAGGCTGATGGGCTTTCTTCACAGTGACTTAATTCAAGTACTCTAGGGATTCGTGTGCACACAGTGATGTCTAGAATGGACTAAGTCTTCTTCAGAGGGACAGGCTGAAACAAGAGCGAGCAAGAACCCAAAGAACAGGGGGAGCACCTTACCTTTTTGTTTTCAAGCTGCTAGATCAACATCTCCCCACGACACACACCCAGCACTGGGGCGAGGCCTCCCTGAGTGCCCAGAGACCTGCTTCTGTTATTCTCTAACTGTGGAGGGAGTGGGAATTCTAACTGAATATTCAGCCTCCGAAGTGTGTATCCAACTTCTTACATCTTTTGTAGTCATTTGCTGTTGTCTGAATGTTGAGCACAAAGCAGGCATCCAATAAAGACTTCCTAGATTTACACACTCCGGTCACACGTGTCCTTATGTGCTGAGGCCTGTGGGTGTTCTGTCCGCTTTTCACCATGGACATCTCTCTGGGATCCTCGGCTTCCCAAAATTCTTAGGAATTTTTTTTTATTAACATAATTTATAAATCAGCCTCAAAACAGTTATGTTCCATTGTGGACACCATCAGGTTAGGAACCAAACTTGATTTGGCTTGTATATTTCTCAGAGTTCCTAGCTCAGAACTTTTTTTAAAGACTTGTTTATTTATTTGAAAGGCAGACTTACAGAGAGGCAGAAGCAGAGAGATGGGGGGGGGGTGCTGCCACTGCTTTCCCAGGTGACAGCAGAGAGCTGATCAGAAGTGGAGCATCCATCTGGGATGACAGCACTGCGCAGCGGCCTCACCCGCTTCGCCACAGTGCTGGCCCCCCAGCTCAGTTCTGGTCACAGCATCTACTGCATACCTGGAGTTTAATTAGAACTAGATTAAGTAGATTAGCATATCCAAACTCTATAGGGCAATGCGCGACAGCATTTCTTCCTTGGCAAAGCACCCACATACCCATTTCATTGATACCCTTTTTCTCTTATCTTTTGTTATCTCCCATCCTCTCCTATACATTATGAAAATCTGCCAAGCTACTGATATCTAAATGTCCCTTGTAATTGCCACATTCTCTTCATGAAGTTCCTAACCCTAGTGTTGATTTTTTTTTGACAGGCAGAGTTAGACAGTGAGAGACAGAGAGAAAGGTCTTCCCTCTGTTGGTTTACACCCCTCCCCCACAAATGGCCGCCACAGCCAGCACTGCGCTGATCCGAAGCCAGGACCCAGGTGCTTCTCCTGGTCTCCCATGGGGTGCAGGGCCCAAGCACTTGGGCCATCCTCCACTGCCTTCCCAGGCCACAGCAGAGAGCTGGCCTGGAAGAGGGGCAACCGGGACAGAATCCGCGCCCTGACCGGGACTAGAACCCGGTGTGCTGGTGCCGCTAGGTGGAGGATTAGCCTAGTGAGCCGCGGCGCTGACCCCTAGTGTCGATTTAACACAGCCCAAGAATCATCTCTGCAGGAACCAGTTTCATTAGCTAATACCTTCAAAAGAGCCTCTCCAGCCAAGCCAAAGAAGCCTCAGGTACCTGACACAAAATCTAGCTGTAACACAGACGTTTGAAAACCTTCTCATTTCTGTAACTTCATTCCGGAGTTTTCCCCATCACAGTGATCACTTTTCCCAGCAGGTGAAGTCTGTGGGCCTTCTGTGCAGCAGAGTCCTCTGAAAGAATGGAGCCTTTACCAAGAGTCCTGTACCTGGGCCTAGGCTGAGTAGCAGCAAATGGCGGCCCGTGCGCCTAATCCTGCTCACCATCTGTTTTTATAAGCCTATGAGCTAAGAATGCTTTTCTCATTTTTAAATGGTTGAAAAAAATTAGAATAGGGGCCAGCACTATGGCATAGTGGGTTAAGCTGCTGCCTGCAGTGTTGGCATCTCATATGGGTGCTGGTTCAGGTCCCAGCTGCTCCACTTCCCATCCAGCTCCCTGCTAATGTACCTGAGAAAGCAGTGAAAGATGGCCCAGGTGCTTGGCCCCTGCACCCACGTAGGAGACCTGGAAGAAGCTCCTGGCTCCTGGCTTTGGCCCTGACCTAACCTTGGTCAGGTGTTGTGGCCACTTGGGGGAGTGAACCAGCGAATGGAAGATTTCTGTGTTTCCCTCTTTCTCTAACTCCACCTTTCAAATAAATTAATTAATCTTAAAAGAAAGTAGAATAATATTTCATGGCATGTGAAAATCATGTGAAATTCAAATTTCAGTGTCTACAAATAAAGTTTTATTGAAACCAGCCACACCCATTAATTTTCATGCTAAGACATGCTTTCATGCTGCAAAGCAGGGTTGAGTAGTTGGCATAGAGATGGTACAGCCTACACAGCCCTTTTACAGACAAACTCTGCTGAGCCCTGGGCTGTAAGGAAGCAAGGATTAAATGAAATTACAAATATGAAAGGACTAAATTGGAGCACAGAGACCCAGAAGTGTTTTTTTTTTTTTGCTTTTTTGTGAAATCTGAAGTCATTCACTCAATGTTTCCTTTCTGGGAATTTAACTATTTCTTATGGAGTGTGGGAGGTGTTTTTTTTTTTTTTTAAGATTTATTTATTCAATAGTAAGAGTTACGCAGGAGAGGAGAGGCAGAGAGAAAGAGAGAGAGGTCTTCCATCCGCTGGTTCACTTCCCAATTGGCTGCAACAGCTGGAGCTGCGACGATCAGAAGCCAGGAGCCAGGAGCTTCTTCCGAGTCTCCCACATGGGTGCAGGGGCCCGAGGACTCGGGTCATCTTCTACTGCTTTCCCAGGCACGGTAGAGAGCTGGATTGGAAGTGGAGCAGCTGGGTCTCTAACCAGCACCCATATGGAATGTATTAACCGGCTGCACCACAGCACCGGCCCCAGGTGGGGGATTTTGATAGAAGTAATCAGTTCAGAAATGGCAGGTGTTTCTCAATTATTCTCCCATGTTTACGATCCATCCCACCCTGCCCACTTAAAGATGGGGTCTTAAACCAGTTTCCTCTGCTCATAAACACACTTCCACATTAGAATCAAACCTGAGAAACTCAACTTTCTTAATCCATTTTGTTGGAATCTTTATATTCATTAACACAAGTAGATAGGATGTGAATTTTTCCAACATTCTTGACTTGGTGTTTGGCTTTTGGCAGATCAGAAGAGCTCAGCAAGAGTGGGAGGCACGAGCTGCATTTCACTGGGTCGGTCAAATGCTCTATCTGAACTTGCTCTCTGACTTGCCTTTGGGAAAAGTTCTTACCATATAATCTGCCTTACTCTTCTCTCCCAAGAGAGGATCGGCAGACTCTTGGGTTAAAATAACAACCATAAATGCTGAATATCACCATCAAACACAAACAGCATTTTAAAATAATCATCCATAGTTTAAACAGTGTGAATATTGGTCCGTGCCTCCACTAGTACCACTGAATTTGTTTTCTGATAAACTTCTAGTGGTGCCTTACATTTTGGTTTGGCTTGAGTTTTGGCCTCTTTTCCTAGTAAACGATTCTGTATTGTTTGAATTTTTGCAACAAGTCTGTATTACTGTTGTCATAAAAAGGGTTATCTTTAAAAGATAAAATACACAAAAACAGGAGAAAGGAAAAGAGGGAGCACAGAAAACCCCAGTGTGGGGGAGAGCATTCCCTGGGGGTTAACTAACAGCCTGGTGCAGGCTCCTGCGGGCTGACATCAGAAGCAGGGAAGGCTGGCACTCCCACTTGACTGTGGGCCCATTAGAAGGCGGGCTGGTGCCACTTGATCGTCTGTTCCTTTGTGTGGGGAAGAACCTGGCACACAGTGAATATCAAACAAACATACAAATCAGTGAATAAATACCCTAGTGACTATTTTAAAAATTACCTTTCATTATAAACTGAGATTTCTATGCCTGTATAGAAAACAGAATATTAGCAAGTGTCGATTCTCTGCTGAATAAAGGCATCATTAATTAAACATCAAGAAACAAATAAGATGGCATATTTGAACCAGTTGGTGGGTGAGGGAGTGAGTGGGATGACAAAGGACATTAATGCCTCTGAAAGGAGATTATTAACTTTCACCTGAAAAACAGCCGCAGAGTACAGCTGGGGTGTGTTTGCATTGTAGTAGTGCTCTTCACATACTCTCCCTCTCTCTCCCCTTTCTTGGCATTAGACAAAAAACAATGCAATATTCCAAAACAGATGTGAACTGTGTTCAGCAGGCTGTGAATTGGGACATTCCCAGGAATAGTTTTAAAGCTAAAAATATCTTTTCATAATAGCTATGAGACATTAAAATAGTATTTCTGTATCTGTGTTGAGAGGGCACTGAGGGGCAGACTTGCGGCACAGCAAGGCAGGGATCCCGTATTGAAGTGCGCCTTTGAGACCCTGCTACTCTGTTTCCAATCCAGCTCCCTGCTATTGAACCCTGGAAATCAGTGGAAGAGGGTCCAAGCACTTGGGTCCCTGCCACCCATGTGGGAGACCAGGATAGAGTTCCTGGATCCTGTCTGTGGCCTGGCCCAAACCTGGCTGTCATGGCCACTTGAGGAGGGAACCAATGGATGGAACATTTCTGTGTATCATTCTGCCTTTAAAATAAATATTTTTTTTTAAAAAAGGTAGAATACCGAAATAGAAGCTTCAGTTATCAGACTAGCCTAAAGTCCCAGAGTTCCAAACTCAAGGATCGAAAATGATTAGAAAGCAATAATATAATAAATTCTAGATGTAAAACAATAATTACACTAAACTGAGCTTGGTAACAGTTAAGGTTAAGGCTAAGGAGAAAGCTATCAAATTGCATCTTTATGTTTTCTCTATGTGAAGCATTTAATATATTATTTAATACTATTTAGCTTTTATATTTATGTACATGGTTACACAAAGAGCCATTGTTTTAATATAAATATCAGTTGAGAATTGTGCCATCTGGATTGAATTATGGACCACCTAACGGTGTCCCATCACATAAGGAAGTGCCGTGGGGTAGCTCACGCTGACTGAATCACAGCATCAGGGAGCTTATTAAAACACAAGATGTGCTCTATCAGAACTCCGGGGTAGTTCCTGGGAATCCATGTTTTCATAAGCTCTCCACTTGATTTTCACACATGCTCAAGTTTGCGAGCATTAAAATCTAAAGGCAAATGTCCACATTTCTGCACTTGATAGTATATTTAATGATCATGATAGCGACAATATAAAGAATGGTAATACAAGTAAATTGTCAATCCTGTTCCATCTTTACACATGATACACACTTTCATGTTGCAATGTGAAAATGTGCTGCTGTAGGCTGGAAGTGTTGTATTAAGCACAACATAAACAAAACTTACTAATCTGACCTAAATTTCAAAGAAATCTTTTGTTTCCTACATTGTTTATTCAAAGATAATATAACAAACAACACACAAAACACTATTAAGAACTAGCTAAATTATATTTTGTCTCGCTCTTCCTCCATAATAAGAATGAAAATGTTGGCCAATATTTATATTCATTCTCGTGTTCACTCTGAATTTCTTCTTCAAGGCTTGTCTTTTTCCAGAAGTGGTTCAATGGAAGATAGGAGTTGTTGAAATGTGGGACGCTTTTCTGGAAGCTAAATAAAAGAAATATGCAAATGTTTTAGATGATGGAAGTTATGATAAAAATTAAAAAATAGGGGCAGGGATTGTGGTGCAATGGGTTAAGCCACTGCTTGGGATATCTGTATCCCCTATTGAAGTGCCTGGTTCAAGTCCTGGCTACTCCACCTTCCTTATCCAGCTTCTTGCTAATACACCTATAAAGGCAGTGGATGGTGGTCCAAATACTTGGGTTCCTGATACCCATGTGGGAGACCCAGATGGAATGCCTGGTTCCTGGCTGCAACCTGGGTTAGCCCTGGCTGTTATGCGCATTTGGGGAGTAAAGCAGTGGTTGGAAAATTTCTCTCTCTCTCCCCCTCTCCTTTTCTCTCTCCCTCTCTCTCTGTCACTCTGCTTTTCAAATAAGATTAATATTTTTTTAAAAAAGAAAAGGAGAACGAAATAAAAATAAAAAATGCATATTCAGTCCTGAACCTGGCAACTTTTAAAACGTGGAAACATCACTGACATTTCTACTAAGGTCAGGAACATGGCAAGGATGCCCACTGTACCCACCACTTGTAACATTGCATTGAAGGGATCAGCCAAAGCAATCAGAAAGTGAAAGCAACTAGAGCCCCAAGAATTGGAAAAGAAAAAGTAAATGTGTCTTTATTTGCATACAATATGGTTGTATACCCAGGACAACCCAATAGTATCAAGGTTTGCTCCAGCTCAAACCATAAAGGAATACACTAAGAGAGCAAGATGTAAAATTAACAACTGAATCAGTAACCTTCATCAGGTACCTTTTCCTTTTGACAGTAGATACTTACAGTAACCAATTAGAAGATACCATGGAAGAGAAAACCCATTTATTTTTTATTTTATTTTTGACAGGCAGAGTGGATAGTGAGAGAGAGAGAGAAGAGAGAGAAAGGTCTTCCTTTGCCGTTGGTTCACCCTCCAATGGCCGCCGCGGCTGGCGCGCTGCGGCCGGCACACTGTGCTGATCCGAAGGCAGGAACCAGGTGCTTCTCCTGGTCTCCCATGGGGTGCAGGGCCCAAGCACTTGGGCCATCCTCCACTGCACTCCCAGGCCACAGCAGAGAGCTGGCCTGGAAGAGGGGCAACCGGGACAGAATCCGGCGCCCTGACCGGGACTAGAACCCGGTGTGCCGGCGCCGCAAGGTAGGAAGATTAGCCTAGTGAGCCGCGGCGCCGGCTGAGAAAACCCCATTTATAATAGCAACAACACCAAAAAATACTTAAAAAATTAAGCCCACCAAATAAGGAAAATTTTCAAACACTGCTGAAAAGTGTACATGTAAACTTAAACATTCCTTGTTCTAGAAATAGGACACATCAGTGTCATAAAGATGTCAAATTTCCCAAGATAAAAACTAGACACAGTCTTCTCAAAAATATTTCAAGCTAAACAAATTGATTATGTAGTACATAGATTTTTAAAATGTGCAAAAATGGTTAGGAAACTATACAGAAAGACGAGCAATGGGGTGGGGGGTGAGCTACCCTACCTAATGTTAAAAACAAATCATAGGGCCGGCGCCGTGGCTCACTTGGTTAATCCTCTGCCTGCGGTGCCGCCATCCCACATGGGCACCGGATTCTAGTCCCGGCTGCTCCTCTTCCAGTCCAGCTCTCTACTGCGGCCCGGGAAGGCAGTGGAGGATGGCCCAAGTGCTTGGGCCCTGCACCCGCATGGGAGACCAGGAGAAGCACCTGGCTCCTGGCTTCAGACTGGCACAGTGTCGGCCGTAGCGGCCATTTGGGGAGTGAACCAACGAAAGGAAGACCTTTCTCTCTGTCTCTCTCCCTCACTGTCTATAACTCTACCTGTCAAATAAAAAAAAAGTATCATAAATCTTCTACATACTTAAGGTGGAACTTGCACATGAATACAGAGATCAAAGAGCAGAAAGACCCCGAATAAACACAAATACCTATGAAAATTTAGTATAACATTAAGATAGCATTTCACTACCATTAGGTGGTATCTCATCCCTGGGGATAAGATGATCTTTTAATAAATAGTGATTCCCACAACTGGACACTCATTTAAAAGACTATCTTTGGAGCCATATCTTTGGAGCCATATATCAAAACATACGCCCTAACAATATAGCAGCTCTTCCCGAGTGTGAATTTAGGTTCCAAGACAAGAGATAAAGAACTATGTAAGTTGTTGGCCAGCGCTGCGGCTCAGTAGGCTAATCCTCCGCCTAGCGGCGCCGGCACACCGGGTTCTAGTCCTGGTCAGGGCGCCGGATTCTGTCCCGGTTGCCCCTCTTCCAGGCCAGCTCTCTGCTGTGGCCAGGGAGTGCAGTGGAGGATGGCCCAAGTGCTTGGGCCCTGCACCCCATGGGAGACCAGGAAAAGCACCTGGCTCCTGCCATCGGATCAGCGCAGTTCTCTGGCCGCCAGCCGCGGTGGCCATTGGAGGGTGAACCAACGGCAAAGGAAGACCTTTCTCTCTCTCTCTCTCTCTCTCTCTCTCTCTCACTATCCACTCTGCCTGTCAAAAATAAATAAATAAAATAAAAAAAGAACTATGTAAGTTGTGTGCATCAATCATTTCTAGCATCAAGCCTAGAGCCTGCTGTACAGGTGGTTTGTAATTATGTATACAATAATAACAAATGCACAGCCTATACTGTGAGGCACTGTTCTAAGGACTTTATAATAATTCATTCAATCCACACAATAATCCTCTGAGGAAAGTATTTTTTCCTACAGTGAAGCACACAAATAGAAGCAGGCTTGTGCAAAGTCATGCAGTTGGTAAGTGAGCAAAATGGGAATCAAACCAGATAGTCTGGTTCCAGAATCCACACACTTAACTACTATATTTAGTAGTCAGTGAACCATATGTGGGGGTCTTCAAAAAATTCATAGAAAATGCATATTATGAAAAAACTATGTGGGGTTTCAAATTTTCTTAAAAGATTTATTTATTTATTTGAATAAGTTGGGGGGGGAGAGAGAGATCTTCCACCTGCTGGTTCACCCCCCGGGTGGCCACAATGGCCAGGGCTGAGCCAGGCTGGAGCCAGGAGCCAGGAGCTCCATCTGGGTCTCCCAGGTGGGCGCAGGGACCCAATCACTTTGGCTTCTGCTGCTTTCCTGGGTGCATTAGCAGGGAGCTGGATTGGAAGTGGAGCAGCCAGGACCTGAATTAGAGCCCATATGGGAGGCTGGCACTGCAGGCGGTGGCTTTGCCCGCTACACCACCATGCCAGCCCCTCAAAAATTTGTTTGCACCCAAATAAACTCATCTTTTAATTCCATCTTCCAAGAAGCTTTTGAAGAACTCTCATGATCGTTGTGAGATATTCTTGGATTAATGTTCTTCAAAGTCCCCCTTTATCACATCACTGCTCAAAAGTCTTCAATGGCTCCTCATTATGTATAAAAAAGAACTTGCACTCTTCCTCGTCATTAAGTTTGCTGCATCTGGACCAGACCTGCTCCTTCAGATTCATTGGCAGCCCTTGGCGACACTGCTGCAGTGAGCACGCCGTGCGCCCGCCTCTGCGCTGTGCCGTGCGGGTCGCCAGCACCCCTTTCCCTCTGACAGCATCTCCACTCACACGTTTTGCAAATGCTTCCTGATTTGGCCCAGAATCTCAACGCCTTCGGGAAGGTGCTCTGCCTCTCCTCTGACCTCTGCTGGCACGCGTCTATCTTTCTGATGTGGGCGGATAATGGTAAACCGCTTGGTGTTTTCAGTCCCACTGTGGGAGGCAGGGGAGTGAGCATGGGAGCACATTCATTAGTGTCCGTCTGTCGCACTTGCTACCTGAGAGGCCCCGGGGTGTTGTGGTTAAGAACAGGGCCCCTGGTGCAGGTCAGCCCACCATGAGCAGCTGTGGGCAAGTCACTGAACCTCTCCGGGCCTCTGTGCCCCCTTCTGTTGGTCTTAGTGATAACAGTGTGTGTCTCCTGGCGAATGAACCGGTACATGTTGATGAAGTTCTTAGAACAGGGCTGGACGTCAGTTGTCCAGTCAGCCGAGGACACGTGCCTTAGTTGATGCGCGTTTGAGGGCAGCGGCCAGGGCCACCAGCCCTGTGCCAGGCACCTTCCCTCCAAGTAGCTCTGTTCTGCTGGTGATGCGGGAACTATGCTTGATGCACTTGGGACCCCTTCCAGCTCACCCAGGGGGTGCTTACCTCATGCCAGCAGCTGTACATGATCTGGTAGATGGTGTCCGATGCCAGCTGGGGCCGGTAGAGTCTGTGGCCCTGGGAGACCTTCACAACAACCTGGGAGTTGTCATACAAGTCATAGGGCTGCTTCCCCAGGCTGAACACCTCCCACATCAGGATCCCTGCATCACATTCACACACACACACACACACACACACACACACACACACACAGTGAGAGAGAGAAAGGAGAATAAATCAGAAGGTGCAGGATTTGTGGAATGAACTTCACACCCCAGGCCAGGGGGGGCTGTGGACCAGAACAAGGGATTGCTGGGAAATGAGTGCCAGTGAGAAGGGAAGGGGATGGGGCGGGGCCTGCACCATCACTTCTGGAGCCTAGGGTGTCTTCCTCACTTTCCTGAGACCTAGACTCTGTGCTTACAGGAAACCGGGTGAATGCAAGGGCAGCCAGAGGCAGCTTCTTTGATCCGAGATTCTGCTGGGGGCAGAGGGGCAGGGCTCCCATTCAGCCTCTCAGTGACAACGGCCTGAGTAGGGAGGCCAAGCCTCAGCGCTTGCCAGTGACAGCTGGAAGTCCTCCCTCTTCTTTCTGCTTGCCTGGGCTGTGTGTGCAGCCACCGCCTTGCACAGCGGATTTCCTGTGCGTGGCAGCCGGGGGTAAGACCACGCTCGACACCCTTCCTTGGGTGATTGCTGCAGTGCCGCCTCATCTTTCAGGGGCCAGCTCTCCTTCCGGGAATCGGATAAAGTCCCCTGGCTGTCCGCTGGGCAAAGTGCACACACTACGTTTTCACGTCCTGGTTCAGATGTCCACAGCTCCCCAAAGCTCACGCAGGCCATGGTGGACTCCAGGGTCAGAAGCTGAGTTCCAGTCATGGTGGTCATTGGGGCCAGCCAGCAGCAGTGGCCTTGGAGGCTGCGTGCTATCACCGACAGGCTGGTAAGCTTCTGAACCCCTTTCAGCACCAGCCTCCCTGTCTACAAAGAGATGTTTGCACTTAATGGACGTGCCACCAGGGCTAAGAGGGATGAAACGCGTAGAGCACAAGGGCGTTCTGAGTGCCCTTGGATGGGAGCCATCGTGCTGCTGCGGTCAAGGCCAGGGAATTGCGACCATCAGCCAGGTCCAAAAACTTGGAAAACCAGAAATATGCAAAAAGGAGGAAAATTATTCTAAGATCGTAACTGAGGTACTAACCTCAAACTTTTTGTTGACTTCAAGGTTACAGATTTTATGTAAAATATTTGTAATAAAGCAATCTTACACATTGTTGTTGCTGTTTTTTTAAAACACACTCACACATTTTAAAAAAACCATCGAGAAGAGTGCCACTGCCTCGCAACGCTCTCTTTGCAAGGCTGCGCTCGCACTTCTGGGATGACGTCACTGATCGTGACCTCTGTGCGGCTCCACTTGGGGAACTGCTCTCAGAGGCGAGACTCATTTTGAATCTCCTCATTGAGCACAAACTGCTCCAGAATCGATTTAGTGTTTGTAAACAGCCAGAAAGTATGCGGGGCCAAGTTCTGTGGAATAAGCTGAATTATTAAGCTGGGTAATGCTATTTTGTCATCAAAATCAAGCGATAACTATTAAATAAGGGTATTTATAAGGCATAGCAACTGATGGACATTGGAACTAATTTTGACACAAGGTATAAAAATTAATCAACACAAATTATATTCCTTGTGAATTTCTCTTTATCTGGGTACATTTGTTTTTGTACATTAAACAATGCCACTTTTATGAAGGGAACAATTTTTAAAAAAAATTGTTTCACATAGAAAAATAACTGGCTAACTCAATTTTCCTTTTTCCAGACAGTCTTGCAGGTGTCAAGCAGTAAATCAAATTACACTTATGGAATAAGACAGGCATGAAATAGGCCTCAGTCATATTTAATATATTTTATAACTTTATAATAACTTGGGTTATTTATCCTGGGCCCACCTGACACTTACCACGTAGAAAAATGTAAGAAGATCTATGGAGTCACAATTTAAGAATGGGTTCCCTTTTCTGATTACCTTTACTAAATGTCAATACAGATCTTTTAATAAAATAGGAGTCTGGAAACTTTCTGTAAAGGGCCACCAAGGGAGCATTTTAAACTTTGTGGGTCGTACTGTATCTGTGGCAACTACTACATCAGGTACAGATGATACGTGAGTGAACGAGCATGGCTGTGTTATTTACAGAAACAGACCATCTGACTTGGTCCTGGGCTGTGGCTTATCTACCCCAGACTGAAGTGTGGATTTTAACACAGAGAGGAGACCATTTGAGGCCAGGTATGAACCAAAGAAACTCCCAAGTCATATCCGGCGTTTACACTAGGGCTGCCCAAAGAATGGGGTCCTTCGGAAGGGAATGGCTCTCAGTTACTTTCACTCAGAACATCAGTGACTTGATTTGCAGCCCTTAAGTATTTTGGATCTTTGGCAAGCTCAGATTTAGTTTAGGAAACAGTTTGAAATCTTCATAAGAAAAGTTTTTATGCCTTTGAGTTTTATGAGAAAGCACTCATGGGATGTAAATTCTACCAGGTGTGAGAAGACATCCTACCAACCCACCCAAGAAAGAAAATCATGTTCTTCACCCTCTTGCTTATCTTAAGCCATGTGTATCATTTTGCAAATGCTCAAGGCCTTTAAAAATGGATGTTGCTGCTCTGTGGTTTCCTGTTGTGGAAGCAAGCTTACGACATAGGGCCGGGTCCTGTGTGGCCACATCCTTACCGAATGCCCACACATCTGACTTGCTGCTGTATTTGAAGTAGTGAAACACCTCCGGGGCTGACCACTTGACCGGAAACTTTGTTCCTACTGAACTGACATACTGGTCATCAAGGACATACCTGTGGAGGAAAACATCAACACAGCCCTTCAGCGTCACGGTGGCGCAAGGCAGGAAGCCCTCTGTCGCCCATCATTGCCTCTACGGCACTGGCGGCTGCAGGATGTCCAGCCATGCGGAGTCTCCGCTGAGTGTCTTGGGTTTCTGGATGTTTTTTGCTTTCTTTCAATGTGTGAACTTAGCTCCAGGATGCTTATGATTTGCAAGCATTTAAAAATGATATCTAACTTTGAAAATAGCAAAATCTGAGTGTGAAGAATTTGGTAAATTTAGAAAAACCTGAAAATGTTAAGACTAAGTCACTCAGAATCCCACCCCAAAGATAACCTGTAATTCTATCAAAGTACATTTTGTCTGTACTTTCCAATTTGAGCAAAATTGGGTTTCAGTTACATTGAGATTTGCTTTGATTTTCCATTTAATGGCAAATCACAAGCATTTTTCCCTGTGGTTACATTTGCTGCTGCAGCATCATGTTTACTGGCTGAACATGTAAGTTCCTTCTAATCCTCTGCTGTTCTATAGGGACAATGATGAAAAATATCCGATGGAAATATCCAATCAGAAAAACATGTGTTTATGGATGTTCACTAAACCCTTCTTTGGAATAATGATAAAATGTTTTGAAACAACTTCAACATCCCTTTGTGGAGGAGTAATTAAATATATTATGATACATAAATACAATAGAATAGTTGGCAGCATTTTAAAAAAATGATATAGCTCTATATTTACTGAAATAAAAAGATGCTCATAGCATATGGCTATGTGCAAAAGCGAGTATGTGATTGTATTTAATCTTTTTTAAATTGGAGAGACAGACACACAGAGAGAAACAGAGATACAGAGAGAACTCCAATCTGCTGGCTCACTCCCTAATGCCCTCAATGGCTAGGGCTTGGCTGAGGCCAGAATCAGGAGCTGGGAAAGCAATCCAGGTGGCAGGAATCCAACTACCTGAGCCATCACCTGCTGTCACCCAGGGTCTGCATTAGCATGAAGCTGGAATCAGGACTTGAACCCAGGAACTCTGATATGGGACACAGGCATCTTAATCACTAGGTTAAATGTCTGATCTGGGGCCAGTGCTGTGGTGCAGTGGGTTAAAGCCCCAGCCTGCAGCACCGGCATCCCATATGGGTGCAGGTTCGAGTCCCGGCTGCTCCACTTCTGATCCAGTTCCCTGCTAATTTGCCTGGGAAAGCAGTGGAGGATGGCCCCAAGTCCTTGGGCCCCTGCACCCACGTGGAAGACCTGGAAGAAACTCCTGGCTCCTGGCTTCAGACAGGCTCAGCTCCGGCTGTTGCAGCCGTTCGGGGAGTGAAGGAGTGAACCAGCAGATAAAAGACCTCTCTCTCGCTCTGTCTCTACTTCTCTGTAACTCTTTCAAGTAAGATAAATCTTTAAAAAAAATTGCCTGATCCCTGATTCCATTTGTGTGGGAACAGATAGCAAAAGTGCGTATTTGCAAATGTGATTGACTAGGTGTGCTTAAGAATAAGGTCTGAGGGAAGGCCCCCAAATATGCTAGTGCTGATTGCTCCTAGTAATGAAGATGGGGCAAAGAGTGGGGCCAGATTTTCCTTTTGACTTTATACACTGCTGCTACATTTCTCACAATAAGTACATATAATTGATATTATTAATGGGGGTGAGCTCTATTTGTCCACCAAAAGCCAAAACTACGAATGAAAACATAAGGACTTTTAACTAGAGAAAATAGGAAAATAAAAATTATGGAAATTAATATTTGGATAAAGTCAACAGGAAAGTTTTATATCCTAAAATGTGCTGGAGATTTCTACTGTAATTTAAACTATCAGGGGGAAAATGTGGATGAGATCATTCTTCCAAATATTAGCAGTGGTAACACTAAGCCACATTTCCATAGGATTACATACAGCACTCTGCGTGCTTTCTCTCCAAACCCCCTCAGCTCCCCAGACACCACCACAGACACCGAAAGTACTACCCTGGCACCTCTGGGTGAGTTTTCTCATAGCTTAAATCTTCTTTCAACTGATCGGGATTTAATTAAGCCACAGGCGTCTAAATGATGTGGCCCCAGAGCCTCATGGCCAACAGGGTCTGGTGGGTCGCCTCCAGGATTCCCTCATCAGAGCGAGACCCTTTGCCTCCCTTTTCCAAAGCCACAGAGAACCTGGTAGCATGTCGTCTGGGTGCTGGAACAACAGCCAGAATTTCTCTTTGGAAGAAAAGTTGGGGATCAGCTCCCCTGTCCTGGGAGCTGCTCTCTGCTCTAAGGAGCTGTGAACAGATCATGTCTGCTGCCCTTGGGAGAGCCATACGCTTGGGGTATCAGTGTGGGAGACTCATACACAGGCTGATGGAGTGATGGCAGGTGCACACAGCTAAAGGGACACCTTGCCAAAACTGAAGAGTCCCAGAGGAATTACTATGGTTCCCATGGTTTGTACTACACTGAATTTTGGATAGGACATTAAAAAAACAGAAAACCAGATCTTCCTATGGCATTTTGGATCCATGTTTATTAAATACACAGCTGGCCTCTACCAACTCGGCAGATTTCTTTTAAGTGGCATTATTCCTCCTGAGAACTGTGGGAGTTTCTGTTGAGTCAATATAACTTCTTGGCTCTATTTGGTGTCAAGGTCAGGACTACATGCGAGCACTTTTGAGGGCAGGGACTAGCACACTCATCTCAGTGTCTCCACAGAACTTAGGCACTCAGCAGGCACTCAGCGAGTGCTTGTTGACTAGAAAGGCCAATGAGTTTTTCTTCACTTCCTGTGTACACCCAGGAGAATTTTCTCTGAGACTTAAATAGTACGACTTTGAGAACCAAGGAAAGGGAAGGCTCTTTTCAATTGTAACTGAAATGTATCCAAATTGTGAGTCCCAGTGTACACTTTTATGCCTTGTTGGATAATGCAGAAAATTCAGTGATTTTTTTAAAGTAAACATTTATTTATTTAATTAAAGATTTATTTATTTATTTGAAAGTCAGAGTTATAGAGAGAGGGGAGAGGCAGAGAGAGAGGTCTTTTATCTGCTGGTTCACTCCCCAATTGGCCGCAACAGCCAGAGCTGCGGCTGATCAGGAGCCAGGAGCTTCCTTTGGGTCTCCCACACGGGTGCAGGGGCCCAAGGACTTGGACCATCTTCTACTGCCTTCCCAGGCCATAGCAGAGAGCTGGATTGGAAGAGGAGAAGCCGGGACTCGAACCAGTGCCGATACAGGATGTTGGCACTGCAGGCAGCGGCTTTACCCACTATGCCACAGCGCAGGCCCCCATGATTTGATAACAAAAACTTTCCTTGTGTTAATGCTTGGACCATTTTTAAGAGCCTCCCCATACAGGGCCAGCACTGTGACATAGTAGATTAAGCCTCTGCCTGTGGCACTGGCATCCCATATGGGCACTGGTTTGTGTCCCAGCTGCTCCTCTTCCAGTCCAGCTCTCTGCTATGGCCTGGGAAAGCAGTGGAAGACGGCCCATGTCCCTGGGTCGGACCCCATGGGAGACCAGAAGAAGCTAGCTTCAGACTGCTCATCCGATCAGCGCAGTGCGCCGGCCGCAGAGGAGTGAGGCGAGTACATTGGAATGGAGGGTGAACCAACGGCAAAGTCTCTCCGCTCTGTTAGCGCTAACTCACTGTCCATTCTGCCTGTCAAAAAAAAAAAAAAAAAAAAAAAAAAAGGCTAAATCACAGGCATCCCAGCCCCTTCCCTCAAAAAAAAAAAAAAAAAAAATTTGCCCACAGGATGTGGTTGTAATATATGGTATTCAAATATTTAGGATCTTTATGGAATTCACTCAAGTTTATAAAATGCTGCAATGTTAAAGAACTAAAGAAAGTGAGCTCAGGGATTTCCGAAAAACAATCCCATTGTACAGGTGAAGTGTTTCACAGATAGCCAGAGGCAGTGGGGGGGAGGGGGAGGGCAAGCACGCAAATTCATAAGCCACCAGCTCAGAGCCCCTTCTATATCGACCGAAGGCCTTTAATTATGATGGCGTTCAAATGCTAATGGAAAGTGCACCTGCATGGGTGGTCCCACTGGAGTCGCTTACCTAGTCATTCCAAAGTCGGACACTTTCACGGAGAGATCACTGTCCACCAAGCAGTTCCGAGCAGCCTTCGGAGGAGAAACAAATCAGCGAGTCGGAAAAGTGAGCAAGAATCTCCAGACGTCAGTCAGAAGTTTCCTCCTTTTAAGCCAAATTCCCAGCAAAATCTCATTGTCTATCACAACGCCAAATTCTCTGAAGTTGTCGCTTTTTCCTTTGTAATTTTCAGTTTCTCAAAACATAAATGTGCTTCTAGAAGTATCTGTCACCCAAGCATTCCTCCTTGCCAAGCAGTAGGAGTGATGCTTTAAACGGGAGCGTCTAGGGTCTCCCTTTCTACCACTAGATAAAGTGTATTGGCAGACATTTTGAAGGCATAAATGCTGCACTAGGGACCTAGTGACACTAGGGACCCAGGCAAGGCATCTGGCCTAGTGCGCATGGTGTGCTGCTGCCCAGCACAAGAAAGCTCTGAAGACAAACCCCAGTGAGCACCAAGCGCAACACTTCCCATCCACACCAACCCAAACACACACACGCATGCACACACACACACACAATTTCACTTCTATTTTCTTGTATTTTTAGTTATTATGTCAAATTACTGCTTTACCATTAAGTCATTCCAGAATTTAAAAGGCTACGTTGGATTTGATGGTTCCAACAAACACTAAATTGGCCATTTTCCTTCCCACCTCTTTTCCTCCATATCAAACTCAGCTATGTAGATCTTGATGGCTTATTTTACTCTTACCATTCTTCCCACACTTCAAATCGTTTATTTTTAAATGTGATTATTCTGAAAGTCTCATGTGCTTACACAAGTGGCAAATGAGTAAAGTAAAAGTGAAGGCACCCTCCTTGCCCTCCCTCCCGATGGCCCATCCCTCAGGGTGGGAACTGAGGGCTACTTTCTTTTCTTCTTTGAGCTTCCAATGGCTCTGCTTACCAGGTCTCGGTGGATGAACTGGTGGCTCTCCAAGAAGGCCATGCCTTCACAGACATTGTAGCACATTTCCAAGAGCTGGGAGGGTTCAAGTCCTTTTCCATGACTCTTCAGGTAATTAAGCAAGCAGCCATTGGTTATGTATTCAGTCACTATGTATATGGGATATTTCTTTGAACACACTCCATAGAATTTAACCAGCTTGGGATGACTGAGTTTCCTGGAAAGAACAGATTTTCAAAGTTCAGTACTGAATTTCCACACTCCATTTTCCAGATGTCCTGAGAAATGAATCACTTTCAGATTTTTGACATGATTTCCTCCCTTCTACTTGAATAGAGAAGGTCAGGAAAAAGTTCAGGACCTCATCTCGGGATCACAATACCCTTGGAGGCAAAAAAAAAAAAAAAAAAAAAGCCTCTGTATCAGCAGTTTCTTGATGCTTTGTTCAACTTTCCTGTAGGGAATCAGGGCAGTGATGACCTGTTGTCTCAGAAACCCTGTTTAGTCTTGCAGCATCTTGAATTTGGAGAAAGCTGCATCCAAAAAAAGTCACTTCCATTTTAAAGTATCTAACTCTCATGTCTAAATATTTAATTCTAAAAAATCCCATAATAGAAAGGGTGTGGGTAAAATGAAAATGATCGTTAGGTTCAGGATTAGATGGGAGGTGGAGTGAACTAGGTCCAGCACAGCAAAGACAAATACTGCCTGATCTCACTCACACAGGAAATGTAAAAATGTTGATCTCATAGAAGTTGGGTAGAATGGTGGTTATTAGAGGCTGCAGGGGGTAGGAGGAAATAGGTAATAAAGAGAGGTTGATGAATGGGTGCTAAGTTGCAGCCAGATGGGAAGGATAGTCCTGGAATCTAGTGCACCACAGGGTGATGGTAGCCTTAGGCATTTTATTTCAGAGCACTGATTTAAGTGTCAGCTGCTCGACTTCTGAAACAGCTCCCTGCTAATACACCTGGGAAGGCATCAGAAGATGGCCCAAGTCCTTGGGCCCCTGCCAGCCGTGTGGGAGACCCAGAAAGTGTTTCAGACTCCTGACCTTGGCCTGGCCTGGCCCTGGCCATCACAGTCACTTGGCCAGTGAGTCAGCAGATAAAAGATCTCTTTCTGTCCCTGTCTCTCTTCATGAATAAATAAAATAAATCTTTATAAAATGTATATTTCAAAATAGCTATTTTATATATAAAATGTATATTTCATTAGCCTCCCCAATGAGATCATCACACAATGTATATATGTATCAAAACATCACAGTACTTCCCAGATATATACCATTCAAAAAGATCATTTTACATTATTGTCACATTATTTTTTCAGTGAGAAATGTAGTAGCTACCACATGGCATAGCACTTCTGGTGGATCACGACAGGATGAATGTTCAGTTTTTATAACTTCATCAACTTGTCACATGATTTATCTACATCAATTTACAGGATAATTCTTTAATGTTCAGATGTATAAGTTAAACCTAAATTTAGCATGTTAACAACTTTTAAATTTTTAACAAGTGAAGATTTATTAAATATCTGCTTATTTTCTTCTATCTACATTTAAAATAAGGACATAGCTTACAATGTTACTCAGGTAGTGAGCTCAGTTACACATCTTTGAGCAATTTTAGAGCCTTAAATGGCTCTCAGAACTGTTCCCTTCAAAGGGAAGGCTTGCGGTAGGCCAAAGGTCCATCACCCAATAAAAGCTGTTCTTTGAGCAAATGTAGTCCCTGCCCAGGGGTTCGTGGGTAGGAACACAAAGTCAACAGTGATAGTCCCTACATGATAGGCCTCAGTTTGATCAGTGCATTGGGATTTAACATTTTCCTGTTGCGACACAGTTTGGTATTTTTCTTTATGTGTAGGTGATAATGATGTTTTATGATTATTTGCAACTACTGTAATGGAAAAAATGATTAAAGTTTCAACAGGACTCAGGGGTTGCACCATGTGCCCAATTTCCAGATTCTGCCATTTTATTCGCTCCTACAAAAGGAGACTAGCAAGGGCTCCCTCCCTGGTTTTATGACAATTCATTTGTCAAAGGCAGAACTAGCTATGTAATTTCTAGGTACTAGTGCAAAATGAAAATGCAGGAATTCTTGTCTAAGAATTATGAAGCATTTCAGGATGGCAACATTGAAGTACTAAAGTACACAGCTCTTCCACGTGCTGGGGGCCCTTGCAACTGTGTAGGTCACGTGCCCAGGAAGCTGGCCTTGGCCAAAGGCTTACATCCACATAGAACTTCTGCTTCCAAACAGTCTTGCACTTGTGGTGAAATGCTTGCTCTAGATTGTCCTGGTCCCTTTAGTCTTCACAAGACAATGACTAAGGAAACGGACACTGGAATGTGCCTGGCTTTGCTGCTCAGCTTTGCCACTTTTATTAGCTTGTTGACTTTGTGCAAGTTTTTTCTTATTGGCTGCACTTTAGTTTATTATATAAACAAAGCAATAGTACATCTCTCATAGGCTTTTTTGGATAATTCAATGAGTTAATATTTATCAAGTGTTTGGAGAAATGCCTGTAAACACTATATAATATTTAAATAATAATTCTTAAAGTATTCTCAATCTGTAACAGGTTAGGACTTGTGCTTTCAACTGTCTTTGACCAAAGCCCTGCTATCACACTGCTTTTTATACCAGGCTGATTGGTTCCCCGAAAAGTAGAGTGACTAACTGTCCTGGTTTGCCTGAGACTGAGGAATATCCAAGGATGCAGGACTTGCGATTGGTAGACCCAGGAAAGTCTCAGGCAAACCTGGTTGCTTGGTTACCCTACAAAGTCTAATTCACCATGCTGCGCTCGGAGCTGAGATCTGTTAGGTAGGGTATCTTCATTTATCAAGCAAGGAGAGAAGTAGAGTGAGAAGGGAGTTTTAACTGGGCTGTACTGAAGGTGCAAGGAGGAAAAGGATATCGCCAGCAGCGTATTAGTTTCAAGCACTGCCTCAGCCTTGTGTGACAGCCCCACTGTGACCCGCATTCCACCATGCACCTCCCAAAGGACGAGGAGACCACAGAGCCAAGGAGACATTCCTGCCTAGAGCCTTACTGTCCCACTCTTAGTTACCCTGGGGTACTAGGACTCTGGGCCCCCTTGTCCACATAGTCTTGTGGCCTCCTCCAGCACCTATGTAGACCCCTCCTGGGCCAGTCCCCCAAATGGTGATCTGTGCTATCCTTAGCCAAGATCATTGGTTAGTGGATAGTTGTTTGTTGGAGACACTGAGGGAGCTTGGGTGTGCTGAATGCTGTGCCTGCAACCTAAGTACGAGACCTCGCTGGGTGCAGAAGGGAACTGGGGAAAGGATGGAAGGAGAGCGGGAGATGTGGGACTTTGGGGGAACCATAGACCAGAAGTTAGTTTCTCTATAGAGTTTCTCTATAGAGGGAATTCTAAATTTGAACATGACCTTTAGGTTGTTGTGAAGTTATACTTGTTAAAGTGGGAGCACTGAACTGGTTTTATTTAAGTTTGTTAGCTCAGCTTCTAACTTGTGCATATTTATATAAATATTATGGATTCTTGCTCTAGGTCTTGCAAATGTTAGAGACAGGCTTGTTAGTGCACATGTCCTCGCTGGCGAGGGACAACTGCCATTCTACTGGGAAAACCTACATCATTGTCTGGGCCTCCTGGAAGAATTCGTCTTCTGACATGGAGCCCTCTTTGATCATCTTCACAGCAACATCGTACTGCCCCTTCCACTTGCCCAGCTGGACCACTCCAAACTGGCCACTTCCTAGCTCCTTCAACAGGGTAATCTCTTCTCTTTTTAGTTCCCAGATTCCTAAGAAGGCAAGACAGACACTCTTTAGGTTCAGAGTAGAAGGGTTTGGGGCCAACAGCTTCCCACGTGGTTTCCCCTCTAGTGAGATTTCCATACCCACGATATGAAGAAACATGAGCCTTTTCCTTTTCAGGCTGTTAACTTTAAACAAATGTGGTCTTATGAGCGCATGATGCTGTTGCTCAGGACAATATTGTTCTTGAAGCAGCTACAGTTATTGATAAGAAGACTCAAAGGAAAAACTTTGCCAACTGGCGGGAATCCTGAAGAGATTCAATGCCAAACATATTCCATGCCCTTATGTTGGTAAGTTATGGTTACATTTTCATCTCAAGCCAATTCAGCTGTGCTCTGAGTGGGTGTCACTATCCTAAACATGCAGGCTGGGTACTGACTCTGCTGAGCAGCACAGAAGTCAAGAACAAGAAAGGTCAGGCAATGGGTTGCTAGAGGCTAATGATTGGATTGAGTAAGAAAAATCTCACAATCTTTTTGGTAATGCTGGGGAGACTAAAGATAGAATTTGGGAGGCAAGAATTTCTTTTGAAAGAAAAAGAACAAATATATTAGGGATAAAGTCCTGTCTGGCATGATCTGAACAGGGCCCTCATTGTTGCCCCCCCGCTTTCAGCTTATCACCCATAAATTTTTAGACCCAAAATGGTGAGAAATGAAATTTAAGAGCCCAAAGGTATGTCCATACCACTTCCCAAGGACACAGATACTGGGACTTTGTTGGCCTTGGTTGACACTGGGTGGCGGAGCCTTGTGATCATGCCTGTAATGGAATCAGCATCATATCATCACATCATTTTATTATATTACGTCACATTGCATAACATTGGTTCACAACCATCCTCTCTCCACAGTAGCTGAAAGAGCAAAGAGTTCAGGATGTTTTGAAGGCATAAAATAAAAAATAAACGACCTAAATTTTTTTAAAAAATTGAGTCTATTACTAAATTTCATTCATTGGTCAAATAATTTTGTTCACATAGGGTCATGGTAAAGCTAGGTTAAACTCATCATACTAATTATAGTAGCTTGAAAGAATTCATTTGAAAAACAGATATTTCTTGCTTTAAATGTGGATGTTTTCCAAATTATGGGAACTATCACCCATGTCCTTTTCCCCTTCTTCCTTTTTCTATGTATTTGTTTGCTTTTTATATGAGTGTTCTATGTATAATGTGTTTGTTTGCTTTTTAAAATCCTCCAGATTTAATCAGCAAAATTGAAATAAATAAAATTTTAAAATTAACACATTTCTCAGAAATATATATATAGAACTACTGCTATAATGACATATTATGTGGGTCATAAAATACACTCACAAATAGAAAACTCTAGAAAATGATATTAATAAAACAAATCTAAAGAAACATCTTTTTTTTTTTTTGACAGGCAGAGTGGACAGTGAGAGAGAGAGACAGAGAGAAAGGTCTTCCTTTGCCGTTGGTTCACCCTCCAATGGCCGCCACGGCCGGCGCGCTGTGGCAGGAGCACCGCGCCGATCCGATGGCAGGAGCCAGGAGCCAGGTGCTTCTCCTGGTCTCCCATGGGGTGCAGGGCCCAAGCACTTGGGCCATCCTCCACTGCACTCCCTGGCCACAGCAGAGGGCTGGCCTGGAAGAGGGGCAACCGGGACAGAATCCGGTGCCCCGACCGGGACTAGAACCCGGTGTGCCGGCGCTGCTAGGCGGAGGATTAGCCTAGTGAGCCGCGGCGCCGGCCGAAACATCTTAATATTTTCTTCACACTGTGAACTTTCTTGTGCATAATTTCAGGTGGAATCATTCCATATAGAGATGTCTATTTATACAATACTTTTCACAAAAGCGACTTTTGGGATGCTACAGATTACAACGAACAATCAAAGAAATTGGGGAAAAGGAAAAATATAAGAAAGAACTAAAATGGAAGGCAGAGGTAAGGCCAATTCGTCTATGCACAGCAAGGAAGGCAGGCAGAGTAGAGCAGGTTTGACACTGAGTCCATGGCTCCTTCTCAGTCACTATTCTCCAACACACAGCACACAAGGGATTTCTCTATTACTTTCACCAGTCAATTAGGCAAGCATTTAAAAGAATGTTGGTGAGGATGAGAGAAATTGTTGTTAGTGGGATTGGATGTTTCTTAAAAACACTTGGCAACATGGACATTTTTAATAGTCTTAGCCTTTGTGCCAGAAATTCCACTTCTAGGAATTTGGCTATAGGAACTATCTGGGTACACAGGGCTATGTGCACAAGATTGTACACTGAAGCATCCATTGCAATGTCAAAATATTGAACATGACCCATCTGCGAACCAACAGAGAGCTGGGTGAATAAATTATGCAGGGGGCCGGCGCCGTGGCTCACTTGGTTAATCCTCCGCCTGTGGCGCCGGCATCCCATATGGACACCAGGTTCTAGTCCCAGTTGCTCCTCTTCCAGTCCAGCACTCTGCTGTGGCCCGGGAAGGCAGTGGAGGATGGCACAAGTGCTTGGGCCCTGCACCCGCATGGGAGACCAGGAGGAAGCACCTGGCTCCTGGCTTTGGATTGGTGCAGCACCAGCAGTAGCGCCCACTTGGGGAGTGAACCAATGGAAGGAAGACCTTTCTCTCTGTCTTTCTCTCTCTCACTATGTATAACTCGACCTGTCAAGTAAATTAAAAAAAATATGGAGTAACTCTGCCAAAGAATTCTATGTAGCTGTTAAATAGATCAAAATAAGCTATACATACAAAGAAAAATCCCTAAGACATAATGAAGAGAAAAAGAAAGCTGAACAGTAGGTGTAGAATGATCTCATTTCTGTAAAAAGGTAATGTATATACATATCATTTCTATTTATATATAATGAATCATAAGTGTTAGTATCAGCATACAAAAAATCTATCATAATAGACACTAACTTGTCCATGGAGGCTCTCCACCTATTGACATATATTTCTGTAATATTTGAATTTTAGAATTAACTTGTTTCTATAGGCAGGAGAAACCTTACAGATACTTTTATAAAGATAATTTATCCTTTTAAGTTGTTCAACTCATTCAGTGTCATTCTTTATGGCATTTTGGAGTATACCTTGTTATATTCCAGGAAAATAAGTTAAAAGTCACATAACCAAAGGGCTCAACAGCATTTTTTCCTACTTTCGAGGTTCCCTATATAATTAGGAATATTATGATCAGTAGTATCCAAGAAAACGGATATTTACCAACAAGATCCCATAAAAGAAAGATTGAAATAGGTTACCTGCTGAATTGTGTTGATGATAGTGAATAAGCTTTGGAATGGAATCAAAACAGTAGTTTTCTGCCAGATATAATTTGTTCTCACCATTTGTATGCACATGGTAATGTTTGACAGTTCCTTTTTTATCACTAGTAAAGAAGAAAATGTTTTTTAAAAAAGCATTTTACATAAATGACTGAAGCTTGATTCAGCAATGGTTAGATAATTATTTTAAATGTATGGATGTCAGGAGACGGAAGTCAGGAGGGGTTCCCAGCCCTGACAGCTGGTGTTTATCGGGAGGTACTCATGACACCCAGTAATTATGGAAGAGGCTCTGCTCTGAACTCAACGTATCCTTCGTGCACATACTGAATTCATCTACAATAAAATTTCAACTTTCCACCCTTAATAATTATAAAACTCAAATCTTCCTTTGACATTTGAGAGGCTTTGAAGCTCTTCACGATCATTATTCACAACATGAATTCTCTTTTAGGATAATGATGGAGATAAAAGTGAGGGAGGCCAAGACGATTAGGCTGTGAGTATTCCCACCCCTGAGCACGAGTAGAAAGTTCTTTTGGGAGTGGGGCTTGCGGTTTGAAGTTGATGAGGCTGTCCTTTAATTCCTCATGCGAGCTTGTACTTTCTCCCCATAAAATAGTCTATTCTTTTCCTTTACTTTTAGAAAACAGTGGTGAGCTGAGGCACACTGCTTTAGGCTAATCAAAAATAATACACCTGTTTCACATTTCAGAGTATTGCACAGTGGTCAAGAACTGGGCTTTGAGTCCAGTTGCACAGCTTGCTAACTACTTCATCTGGTTGTTATATAGATTCAATATCTGTCTATCTGCTCTATGCTTGGCACATAAGAAACATAATAAATAATAATAAATTGCTGTGGTTGTAATATCATTCTAGTTAAAGCTGCAATTATAAAGAGGAGAAAGGGTGCATATTTTTGGTGCAAATGGCCAACTGGCTTGTGGTGTCAGCATGAAATTCACTCAAGCCCATTGAGGAAGTTTCATAAAAGAGGGTTTCGTTTTCATTAATTAGGACTGTTTTCATTTGATTCCTTATCTCTTTTCTGATTTGTCTACATGGTCACCTTCAGAAATGAATCTGGTGTCAAAAAGTGTGATTAAGGCATTTAATATGAGGTTTGGTGGAAACTTCAGGGCCAGAGGGTCATAGAGCTTTTTATACTCAGTGATCAAAGTCTTCTCCTAGTTCTTGGCTTTAGCCAGTATCCAGGTGTCATCATGTGCAACTGAGATGCACTGGGGACAGGACTTCTGGCATTGAAAAATGTTGTACAACCACTCAGGGTACATCCTATCATCTCACACTGGAGATAGGTGTTATAAAAACCTTCTCAAAATAAAATAACTTTCATCACTTTCATCACTTAATTATCATAAATATAAACATAAGCATCATGGGATAGGGTACACGCAGAAGGTACCAAGGCAGAGGGTAATGTGATTCACTGTTGAAAAAGGACACACACATAGAAATATGTGTTTCCAAATTATCCTAATCAAGTTTTGGTCTGATTCCTGTTCCAAAATATTGAGGGTTTCAGTGTAGACACAGAATGTGGATAAAGGAACATAACTTGTTATTGGAAGCCTGGTTTCAAGTCAGACACTTTGTGGGCAGATCTTTATAAACTCTCTTTGACCCTCAATCCTTCCATCTGTAAAATGGTGAAATAAAAGCAACTGTCCTGTGTGCTTTGTTGGACAATTACAAGGACAAAAGAGCTAACAACCAGTGGCAAAGTGACTTATAGCACTCCAGATGTTGGCGATGGATGGCTTTGTATGAGATGACTATGGAGTGTCTTACATGCCTAGGTGTTGGGGTGCAGAGAGTGGAGCAAGGAAAACTACTTTTGCCAGCAGCAACAACAATAACTGTAACTGCTCTTAGCTTATTAATTGCTCACCATGTGCCAGACAGTTTTAATCCCATATGGATTAGCTAACAGTAGCCCTAGAACATAATCATCATCATTATACCCCCTTTTCAAGTGACAAAGTTGAGCCACAGGCATTTGTTCAACTTGCTCAATGCCATGAAAGCTTGAAATGGCAGAGCTAGCATTTGAATCTATAAGTTTGGTTTCAGACTGGAACTCAGCCACACAGAGAGGACAGCACCTTAAAAAGAGGCTATGCAGAGAACATAGCTACATGGATTCAGCCTTCTGCTGACTCTGGAAGGACTCACTAAGCACTGGATATTGGGGTAGGTTTCTTAGCTCAGCGCATGACTAGGGTTGAGAGTGCAGAGACTCCATTGTTATTTTGCTCTCTTTCTGGGCTTAGATTTGCATGGAAGGGAATCAGCCAGGAGTTTTTTAATAAATGCTTCCTGAGGCTGTGCTCAGGCACTCCGCTGTTGCCTGGGTGGGCAAGAGATAGGCTCACCCAGAGAACAGCCCCCTGCAAGTAGATGGCGTCTTATTCTGAAATGCGATGATGTGATTAGCACATTCAAAGAACATACATAGAAAAAGAAAAGAAAGAAATCATCATCATACTTACTTCACAGCCTTACTAAATAAGGACACTGTGTACATTCCCACCTGGCTGGAATTTCGAACCATAAATGCTCCTTCTTTTCCCTGAAGAGGGAGGAAAACGAAGAAGGAATGGGGCACATTTTCATTCTTGAAAACAGTTTTTCACCATAGTTGGAAGGAAAAGAACTCTTTTACATTCACTTTAAATGTTACTGAGGTCACAGTAAATCCAATAGTTGACATAGAAGAGGTGCATGGTGTAACTTTCCTCCTTTTCTCTCAAAATTCTTATGAACTACCCTTTATGCTTCAATGCTTTCTCTCCAGTTATTTATTTATTTATTTAATTTATTTCAGAGGGAGTAGGGAGGGAGGAGAGAGAGAGGGAGCAAGCTAGAGAGAGCATTGTCAACCACTGAGGATGGGCCAGGCTACAGCCAAGAAACAGGTCTTTCTCATGGGGGGCAGGGACCCAAGTACTTGAACCATCAACTGCTGCCTTCCGAGATGCACAGCAGCAGGAAGACAGAATCAGGAACACAGCCATGACCCCAGCCCAGGCACTCCAACATGGAATGCAGGCATCCCTGCAACATCTTAATCACTAGGCCGGGACAGAGCACCGAGGACTTGGGCCATCCTCCACTGCTTTTCCAGGCCATAGCAGGGAGCTGGATCGGAAGTAGAGCAGCCAGGACTTGAACTGGCGCCCATATGGGATGCCGGCACTGCAGGCAGTGGCTTTACCCTCTATACCATGGTACTGGCCCCCATCACATTCTCTTTAATACTTCTCAAAGAAATAATTAGTGGGGTTGTGTTATATTAGATTGAACTATATCAAAGTACCATTTGTATAGATCAAAAGAGTTTGTTGCTGGTAATTACATACTAATTGGTAATAAAATCAGATAAATTTATTCTTTTTCACATCTGCTGTACTCTGGTTTAGGTATTACTAAGCAGTGGCAGAGCTGACGTAAACAGTTGTACTGATGGCCTCCAATAAACCATCTCTCTTATTTATGGTCCTGCGCAGTACCCTCCCACAATGACTCTGGGTTGGGCTATGTGATTACTATGGCAAGTTAAGATGTTAGCAAATGACAAAAGTAGAGACTTCCTAAGTGCTTGCACTGCATGGCTTGTCCTCTCTGATTACTACCATGCTGTGAGGAAGCCCAAGTTAGGCACATGTAAAGGCTGCTTGGAGAAGAACTGCCTCTGGTGCCTCGGATGACTGTCTCAGCCAACTCTCCCCACCCTCGAGTAAAGCCATCAGCCACATGTAGCCGCATGCGTGACCCTAGGCAGAACCTGCAGAGCAACTGTTGGCACAGCTGATTCACAGAATCACAAATCATAAATCTGTTTCATGTCACTAAATTCTAAGATGGTTCATTTTGCAGCAATAGGTACTGGACACAGAAGAAGTGGATAGACTAAAGGGCTGGGTAACCCAAAATCCAACAACTAACACTAAAATGAGCTGGCGTACAATTAGCAACAAGGTTTCTGTGAGACGTACATTAAATTCTGGGCCTAACAATACAAAGAGATTCTTAAAGGCTATTTTAAACACAAGACTACAAACCTTTTGTCTCAGTAGCTGCTCAGATTGTGACCTGGAGATGTTACCAGCAAACCAGCTGCAATAGGAAAGAATTCCATATTTGAGAATTAATTATTTTTCCATTGTATAACTTGACACTCAACTTTCTAATCCTTAAAATGAAGCACTGGCCTGCATCAGGGGCTGGAAATCTGACAGAGAATCACCCAAGAAGTTTTTCAAAAGCATAGATATTTGAGTCTCTACCACCCAATTTTAATATTGAGGTGGCGCTTGCACATTTGAATTTTTTCTTAGTATAAAAAGCCATATTATTATGTAAGGAGTATAATTCAGTGAAGACAATGTTTGTAAATACCCATGTACTAAAAAATATGGGATATATATATATTTATATAGCTTCCACATATGACAGAAAATATGTGGTATTTGTCTTAGCATAATGATGTCCAATTCTATTCATTTTATTGCAAATGTCAGGATTTCATTCTTTTTCTATGGTCAACCAATATTTCATTACGCAGGTAAATCACATTTTCGGAATCCATTCACCCACTGATGGACATTAGGTTGCTATTATGACTGGTGCTGCAATCAACAAGCATTGCAGGTGGTCTCTTTCATATTCTGACTTCATTTCCTCTGGATATATTCCCAGAATTGGTATAACCATAGATATGTGGCCATATCAAAATAGATATCATAGATCTATTTTAGTTTTTTGAGAAACCTACACATTGTTTTCCATAATGGCTGCACTAATTTCCATTCCCACCAACACTGTATTGGGGTTCCCTTTTCTCTACAACCTCATCAGCACTTGTTGGTTTTCGCATTTTTGATAATAACCATGCTAATTGGAGTGAGATGATACCTCATGCTGGTTTTGATTTGCATTTCCCTGATGGCTAGTCATACTGAACAGTGTTCGATGTGTTTGTTGGCCATTTGTATTTCTTCTCTTGAAAAAACATCTGTTCAGATCTTTTCCCCATTTCTTAACTAGATAGCTTTGTTGTTGAATTTTTTGAGTTCATTATGTTTTAGATGTTAATGTTTTGTCAGATGCATGGTTTGCAAATATTTTCTCCCATTAAATAGGTTGGTGTATAGGAATCTTTGGCTTTCCTTTATGGGACCTCTAAGCTTTCTTACATTTCACCATTTTTTGTTTAGATTTATTCATTTATTTGAAAGGAAAAGTTACAAAGAGAGAGAGAAAGGGAGAACGAGAGACAAAGATCTTCCACCTGCTGGTTCACTCCACCAAATGGCTGCAATGGCCAAGGCTGGGCCAGGCAAAAGCTAGGAACCAGGGTCTTCTGGTCTTCTGGGACTTCCACGTGGGTTAAGGGGCTTCAATCACTTGTGTCATGTTCTGCTGCTTTCCCAGGCCATTAACAGGGAGCTGGATTGGAAGTGGAGCAGCCAGGACTCAAACCAGTGCCCATATGGGATCCTGGTGTAGCAGGTGTAGCTTTACCGGCTACACCACAGTTCATGGCCCCCATTTCACCATTTCTAATGGGGGCCGTAGATTAAACCAATGAAGACTATTCCAATGGGAAAGTCAGGGTTGCCACTGATGAAAGCTCTTGTCTTTCAATTCTGTCATTTTAATAATCTGATAGATGCAACAGCATCTATTTTCAAAGCAAATTCCTTTTTAATTTTTTTAATTTTCATGCTAACGGTAGATAAACATGTAAGATTATGTTAGTACAGGAACAGTTATACTGAATTGCGAAAAAGATGATGTGGGAAAGGCAGGAGTAATCTTTGAATATTTGCCTTTTTACTAAGTTAGCCCAGAACATTACATCATACTTTACACGTGGAGCTCAACAGGCCAAGAATTGTTTCTCATGTGAGGTCAGCAATGCCTGCGCCCTTTTGGCTTTGGCCAAAATGCCATACTAAGGAAATGAGCAGGGTGTGAGATGGGATGGCACATAGGCTTGGAGGATTGGGAGGACTTCCTTTTTAGAAGAAAACATCTGAGGAGGAAAGAAAAGAGGGTGGAGGTGGGGGTTGTAGGAACAAACCCAGGCAGACCCCGTCACAGAGCTTGGCAGGAAGGGATGGAGGTGGTCCTCTGGGTAACGTCTATATTAACTGAGGAAGGGGATATCACTGGCAATAATTCAACAACATGAAAAGAGCTGAACAGCTTTCATCCAGCCAGCTTGGAGGTCTGGATTCTAGCCAGAACTTCCCACTAAGGAGTTGTATGCCTTTGAACACGTGTCTCGTGACCTTTGACTTCCCCATCTGTAAAATTGGGAGCAGGGCTGATTTTAATAAGTGTGAAAATTTCTTCTAACTCTATCCTTATAGATGTTGTATAATTAACTCTTGCGGTATTGACTGATAGTTTTCTTAGTAATTACCATTTTAAGCTCACTAAAGCTAATCAAATGACCCTTCAGAGGATACGATCTAGGATATATATTTACGGGCACATAGAAGGAAGAGATGCTAAGGAATAAGGAGAGAGGCCTGGAGAGGCAGTGAGATAGTTTTTATACCCTATCTCACCCCATCATCAACTCACACAAATACACATTTTACCTGTGTCATAATTTTTCTGAGGCTTGGTTCTGTTTCTTTAAAAAAAAATTGAGTATTTTAGTTTTGAGCATCAAAGGCCTAGGTCTAGTCCTAACATTTGATTTTATTTTACTTTTTAAAACTATTTATTTATTTATATCTAAATGCCTACATTTGTAATTGAATGGAGTAGAATAGTTCATGCCATTATGGCCATAAAACAGATGACACTGAGGGCATCAAGTGTTGTGTGAGAAGGCAAAGTCCCAGACCACATAGCCCTATAGTCCTGAGCATACATCATCATCTCTTTGATTTTGAAGATGACAGGTCTTTCCTGGTAATTTTGCCACCCTTCTAATAATTCTAGTGTCCAAGTGGATTTTGTGTCTCAGAGGGTTAAGTGTCTAGAAATGAAGTACACTCTATTACTCCCGTCTCTCCTTAATACCAATATGTAAGTCTAGGGTACAATAATTTGTCCCTATTTGTAGAAAATAGAACCTTACATTTTGGAAAAGACCTTAATGGACACTTAGGTAAATCTGTCTCAGTATAATCAGGATGACCACATATTCTCATTTGCCCAGAACAGTTGAGTTTATGTCTGATTGGGAGTAAGCTTAATAGTGGACTCTTTCTCTAAAGTATCCCAATTTGGATGTTAAATGATATAGCCACCTTAGGAATTTTACCCTGTAAAATTACTGCACCATAAATAACTTCCCCCAAAACCTAACTATGTTAATAAGAACTTTTAAACATCAACTTGACAAGAGGCCTCTAGAGAAGAAATAATGAGCAGAAATATCGAATGCTTCAGACAAAGTGAAATGAAGAGGATATTGGGTATATGAGAAATCCCATGAATATGTGCAGCCAGGTTAGGTAATCCAGATCGGGGAAAATATTTTCTCAGAAAATAACCCAATTGTCAATTGTCACCTGAATAAATGGCCCAGGGCCTTACATGAGTTTACCCATAAATAAAGCCTCCTGACAAGGTCTATGCCATCTCTTTTAGTGCTTTTGGGGAATTGAATAGAAGCATCTATGTCTAAATTTAGAAAAAACACAAGGACCCTTCAACACTCACTCATAATCATCCAGGTTTTCCTCTTCTTCAGATGAACTTGACTCAGGAAATCCCCTTAAGAAGAGTTGGGAAACAACATGAATTGCAAAACCACCAAGAAACAATCCAAGTGTCTAGAAATGCGATATCAAATTCCACTGTGTTTTTATCCACATAAATACAAATTAAACTCTTAGGTTTCCATTTTCGCACTTGGAAAGGTATCAACAAAGTGAAGAGAGAGCTGCCCAAAAGCTGGGCTCATGCCCAATTTAATGGTTCTTCAGTATAGGAGGTGCCCAGGAAGGCCCCCAAGAACTCAGATTTCTGTGACTCTTCATGAAATAGATTTAGACTCCTTCAGGAATGGCTGAAGTATGAAGTTAAAAAATAATCTTGGGTTGTGTTTAGAGCAGTTCATAGGGAAGACTTAGTCAACTCTGTGTTGCTTTTCCTTGTGCTCAGGACACCTGAGTCAGATATGTTAACGTTCACACTAACGCCACTGTATATCATACATGATGAGTGGAGAAAATCATTGTGAGGAAAATTATAGCCCACAAATGACCGATTCAGACCCACTCAAGAGTTCAAAGAAGCAAGCTACATGGCCATTACATATACCTTAAATGTAAAGCCTCGTTGCAAAATTATTGTAAATTTCACTATTTTTCCTGCAAATGGAAGCAAATCCTGGATGTAAAGGAATATCTGAATCTGATTTACCATGAAATCTTCGAGATGCTGTGATTTGTGACACTTCTTCCTGTTTGGCTACTGCATGCAACGTCATCACTGCTGCACAGAGAGACAGAGATTTCATAAATTTCTAAGTGTATGTTTACTTACAGATGCTGATGACAGAAATGGTTTTGTTCTGATATGGTTTAGCTTTACTAGACATTTTGACCCATACTTCTGGTTTGGACATTTAAGCTAATGAGCTACTTTCACATTTTGGTCCGTTCAGAGACCACAGCTGTAGCTGCAGTTCGGCAGTACCCCTAAACCAAAGAGGATTGCTAATATCACCCTATAACGACTCCAAACAGTAGACAACCTGGGGTAAGAAACTGCCTTCACTGGGTTCGCCATGATTTTTTATAGATATGAAAGCATTTTGTCACATAACACATTCAGATAAGTTCTTTTCCTCCTTGCTGTTGTCATTAGAGCTAAAAATCTTGAAAATATGGAACTCTTAGTTCCGTCTGGGCACAGATGGATCAGCAGGATTTTCATCATCTTCTGCCAGCCCTCATTCTCTCTCTTTCATTTTGGTGTTAAGCAGATTATAAGGAAGTGCCTACCTCTCAAAGTCCAAATGCTGTTTTATCTGGAATGCAGGACCTACTTCCTGTTTGCCGTCAAAGCCCAGGCTTTTATTTATTTATTTATTTTTATTTATTTATTTTTTTGGAAAACCATGCTTCATGGAGACAGTAGCCTTGGCAAAGAAATGTTTGGCTTCATTTCAAGCAGTGCTTAAAGCCCTCAAGCACTGGATTGCCTCCTTCTGCACCTTCCTAAAGAGACTTGCCTACAAGAAGAGCTTATTGACTTCATCTCTTTGTAAGGAAATGTATTTAAAAAGGACAAACAATTAATTTAGCCTTGTTTTTAAGACTATGGGGAGAATGGCCATCAGCAATGCATCACTTACGTTTCCATATATCATGGAATACTATATTGATCCTAAAAATCAACAGGTAGTGAGTAGTGAGAATCTGGGTTTGTAGATACATACATGGCAGCATGTGCATTAAGAGCATTCTCTAAAATGCTGTGATGTAGCAGGTTAAGCTGCCACCTGCAATGCCAGCCTCCCATGTGGGCACCGGTTTGGGTCCCGGCTGCCGCACTTCTGATCCAGTTCCCTGCTAAAGTGCCCAGGAAAGCAGCGGAAGATGGCCCAGGTCCTTGGGGCCCTGAACCCATGTGGGAGACCCAGAAGAAGCTCCTGGCCCCTGGCTCTGGCTTTGGACTGGCCTAGCTCCAGCTGTCGCGGCCATTTGGGGAGTGAACCAGCAGATAGAAGATCTCTCTCTCTCTCTCTGCCTCTGCCCCTCCCTCTCTGTAACTTCACATTTCAAGAAAAATAAATCTTTAAAAAAGAGAGCATTTTAGAGGAATGTACACTGAATATACTGCGATATTTGGATCCTTTCATGGGAGCATGGATCATTTTACTGATCAGAAAAAAATGAAGATTCAAAATAGCCCAGGTGAAGACAATAGAACTAACAGAAATTTGATAAAAAGTATTGTCACTAGTATATGAGCTAAGAATCATTGTTGTGTTTTAAAAATTGAAGCCCCATGAAGACCTTTAAGCAATTACTGTAATTAACTTGCAGATGCCATGCTGCTACTACTAAGTGATTAATGAATCCTTTGTTCGGATAAGTAGCTTTCTGAAATTCTAAGAAAAAATCCAGTGTTGGGACAAAATCTAAAAGGTTGCCAAATCCAAGGGGTTGTCAAAATTTAATAATCAAGACACATTGCATTCTAGTGAAATACTTTTTAAAAACTTTAATGCAAAGCACCCTTGATGAGCAAAATGTCAACATTTCCAATGAAGACGGGCTCCGGCCATCTGTGAGCTGGAAGCGCCTCCGCAGCAGGCCCCAGCAAATCATAGTTCTCCAGTAATTATCTGAAAATTCATTCCCACACGTCTCCTTCAGAGAATCACAGAAGGGCCTGGCACAGAGCACACATGGCACTCACTGTCCTTGGGCCTGGGCTCGCTGATCATCTAAATTCCACAAAAATCCTCGCCTACAGGCAAATAAACATAAAAACATCACCCCTCCCCTCGGGCACTGCACATAGATTAGAACACTTGGATTCTAGCTCCACCTTGGAATGAAAGGGACCACATTAAGAAGCGTGCACTTTCAAGCTCTTTATGGTGCCATGGCTGTAGCATCGGTATGGGGAGGCATTTGCTTTAGGTAAACATGATGAGGATGGAAAGAATAAAGGAATAAGAAGGCAAGGGAGAAAATAAGGACGAGAGACATGGGGTGAGTCCAAGAGATGCTTTGCATGCACTGTGGGGAAAGACAAGCGTCTGTCCCCTGGAGGGTTGCTGACAACTGGGGGAGAAGGTGGTGGACAGTGGACCCTGACGGGGGAAGTCTGGAGCAACAGATAAGGAAGGGTAGTTGCTTGCCCCTTTCCCTATGGTCATCTTGCAATTCAATTTGATATTGATCGAGTCTGGCAGACAGTGACAGACCCCAGAGAGACACACTATTTATGTACCATCTTTAAGGCATTTCCAGTTGTGGCTTTAGCCAGAACTTTTTTTTCTCTCTTTTTTAAAAATATTTATTTATTTATTTGAAAGTTGGAGTTATATAGAGAGGGGTAGATATATACAGAGTGAGTGAGAGAGAGAGAGAGATTGATTTTCCATATGCTGCTTCACTCCCCAAATAGCTGTAACAGCCAGGAGCCAGGAGCTCATTCCAGCTCTCCCACATGGGTACAGCGGCCCAAGCACTTGGGCCATTTTCCGCTGCTTTCCCAGGACATTAGCAGGGAGCCGGATCAGAAGTGGAGCAGCTGGGACTCAAACCAGTGCCCATATGGGATGCCAGCACTGCAGGCGGCAGCTTCACCTGCTATGCCACAGTGCCAACCCCAGCCAGAATCTTTAAACTGAAAAATGTGAAAAGACTAATGTGTTCAGGAGAGGTGAAATTCTGAGAAGGCAAGCCATGGGTTCGCTTGAAATGCTGTTTGTCATTTGCCTAGCAATGCTGAAACACGTTGTGAAAACAAGCCCACCCTAAGGTTTTTTTGTATAAAGGCTACGTTGGAAAGATTCTGTGTTCTGGAATGAGGGGGCAGAAAGGGGCAGGAGTAAAATGTTCAAGTGCTCATTAGCTCATTAGATCAGACAATGTAAGAGGAAAGTCTATGCTGCTCAGCACCAAAGGGGCCACTTGATTCCCCAAGTCTTCCAGCTCAAGCACAGAACATTTTTTGAGAAAATAACCCAATTTGAACAGAGAGCTGTATCAACAGCTTTGAGGCTGAGGCCCAAGGCAGTGAGAACAATGCCTGCTCTACATGCTGGGCAGCCAACCGAAACACCAGGGCTTACCTTTTCAGTTTCCTTACTTGCCACCAGTCAGGGCAGTCTTCCCTGGGAATACACCCCATGTTGACGTTTGGCTGGGAGACGTAGTTTCTCCTTGAATCGCTGTCGTATTTAACTAGGCTGGTACTTGAAGACGGCACATCCATTTTGAGAATAGGAACTGCTCGAGGAATCTTGAGCTTTGAAGGACAAGAGATTTTAATGCATCACAGTGAGGCACAGATCTGTGTACTGGGAACCAACAACCAAAGTGAACTGAGAGAGAGAGACAGAGAGAGAGAGAGAGAGAGAGATAAAAGGGAGGAAAAAGGAAGGAAAGGAAAGGGAAAGAAAGAGAGGGGAAACAGGGAATATTAAGCCTTAGCAAGGACATGGAGCAACATGAACTCTCATACTATCTCTGGTTGGAGTATGAAATGGTCCAATCACTTTAGAAACCTTTTTCCAGAATCAACTAAAGTTGGCTGTGCTCATAATCTATGAGCAGAAATATGTATGTTCACCCAACAGTGAAACCAAAAGATTTAAAAGAATCTTCTTACCAGAATTATCTGAATTAGATAAAAAAAATGTAAACTTCCTAAATGCCCATCAAGAGGACAAAATAATAAACATATTGTGGTAGCAGTGAGCTGAATAGTGGTGCCCCCAGAAATGTTCATGTTCTAATTCCCAGAACCTGTGAGTCCCTAACATGGTAAGAGAGACTTTGCAGACTGTGATTATGATAAGAATCTTGCCATAGGGAGAGAGTAAAGGGAGGCAAGGTGGTCAGAGATTAGAAAGATATGAGGGTGGAAGCAGGTGTCAGAGAGCAGAGAATCTGCCGCCCTTCTCCTCTGGAGATGTAGTGCCAGGAGCCACTGAACGTAGGAGGTCTTTAAGAAGCTGGAAAAGGCAAAGGAAATAGATCCCTGTGCCCCATTCCCCTGCCTGCCCCAAGCCTCCTGAAAGAACAGCCATGTAGACCCACTGTAGACTTCTGAGCTGCACGACTATTCGAGAATAAATTCCTGTTGCTCTAGGCCACTGAATTTGTGGTAATTTAGTAGAGCAGCAATAAGAAACAAACACAGTGCTATATTCACACAATGCAATGCTATACAGCAATGAAAATACGCTGTAATCACATACTAAAACTTAAGTGAGTCTCATACACTGAACAAAAGAAAACAGACAATCAGTGACTATATATTTTATGATAACATTTGTGTAAAGGTCAAAACCAGGCAAAAAATGTATCAGATTGTAAGTCAGGCTAGTGGTTAGTGTTTGTGGAATGTAGTGACTAACAGGGAACACGAGGGTGGCCTTGGGCTTCTGTTTCCCAGTCTGACTGTAAATTATACAGGTATGTTCAGTTTGTGACAACTCATCAAGTTGAACGCTTAGGATTTGTGTTTTTAAAAGTCATGGTACATTAAAAATTTACATGATACATATGTGTATTTACGTGTGTGTATATCTGCTCTACATTTAGTTTTTTCACATTCTATTTGCTCTTTCTTCAGAAATATCATTTACTCAGAGCTGAGGCTTTGACATTCTGGAAATTTTAGCTATGCATGACACGGTTATTTATGAGCTGTGAGGTGGGTTCTCTCCAAAGATAAATGCATTGGAAAGTTCCTTAAACGGAAGTGCAAACAGAATGACTGGAGAGCTCATTTTTATTCCCCCCAATCAGAGAACAAGCCCTCTACTGAGTGCTCTGGTAAAAACAAAACAAAGGAAAACATGCTTTTCATGATACCCTCTCTGATCCTTGCTTCATTTGGGCAGCTTATATTCAAAACAGGCCTATGAACTCTTGGCCAGATTTCCTGATAATTTTCAACACATTTCCCAGAGACGGGAGACTGGATGCCAGAGACTAGATGCAATGGATCCTGACTCCTAAATTATCCTCTGCTGTTAGAGTTGTTTAAACAAACCTGATTGGAATTTCACCCTTTGGAAGTGTAGAATTCAGTGACTTTTAGTAACTTTATCAAGTTGTGCAATCCTCACCACAATCTAGTCTTAGCATATTTCCATCACCCCGAGAAAATCTCTCATGCCCATTTGCAGCCAGTCTCCACTCCCACTCTGGCCCTAGGCAATCACTAGCTGACCTTTGGTCCTCATAGATTTGCTTACTGCGAACATTACTCTTAAATGTCTTACAAGGCCATACTTTCACAAGGACACACCTTTTGGATTTATGCCCCATGCTCGTCATGTGTGATTTCATCTTGATCTTTAATTATATCAGCAAAGACCTTGTTTCCAAGTAAGGCCACATTCTGAGGTTCTGGAAGAACATGAATTTTGGAAAGCACTATTCAAACCTACAATAACAGATTCTTTTCATCCTTCATGTTGGTTTGCAAGAATTATATGGATTTTACTTAGAGAGAAATGTGTGTGAATGTGTGTAGCTGAAAATAAGTACCTAAGACACCATAGACTTGACGTGTGGGTGAGGACATGTCCTCTTCCTTTCATAGAACCACTGGGAGGCCATCATATGTGTCTCTTGGCATTGGAAGCAGCTGATACCTGCCTAGGAAGGCTAAAAGGAAGCTGTGACTATCACCACAAGTAGAACACAAAACAGCGCAACAGCTCACCATGCAGGAGTGAGCTGCATGCAGCTTAGTTAACTAGAGTGATGAAGGATTTGGTTGTTTCTTGTAGGCCAACTCCACCCTTGGGGGAAGACTTGGCTGAGAGTCACCTTGATAAGGAGTCTAACCAAGATGAGTGAATTGACCCGGAAGAGTTGAGGAATGAAATCCCAAGAGCTAGGATCAAAACACCATCTTCCGTCACAAAACTACATTTGAATCTGCCCTGTGGGAAGCCCACAAAAGTCTCCCATAAGATAAAGAATCGGCAGTGTGCAAACTCTCCCAAACAGTATCGCCATGAAATCATGGTAGGACCAGCCACACGAGTGTCTCTTTTCCATTAGATACCCTCCTCTTTGGTCCTGCACTGCAAGGGTCAGAAGCCCCAGCCTCTCCACAGCCCCTCTCCAAAAGCAGGCTGCCAGCTGATGCAGACTGAGCAAGGTGACAAGGAGAAGTTT